ACTCATGCATGTAGTTGACTGTAGGTCTATTCCAGTATGTTCATAACCATTTCTGTATTTATCCTTCCTACACCAATGGACATGTGTTGAATCTGGCTATGTATCTTGCTATAGCTGATATCTTCTCCCACCTGGTTGTCTTTCTATTCTGCTACTCATGCCTCTGTTAACTTTAATGCAGCCTGATTTCTCAAGTTTTCCCTTTGTATTAGAGCTTTTCCTTCATTAAGAGCTCTTTGCCTATTCTAGCCCCTTTAAGGGTTCATTTCTCTGAATATATTTTTAACGTTTCAAATATACTTACATTAAAGTTAAATATTTTTGTGTAGACCTTGTATTTTCAGATTTTAGGAGTCCTGGACCATGGACTCAAGTCTGTTTGCTCCAGTCTGTGTCCAACAGGTCTAGAATAATGGCTGCAGAAGCTATGATTTCTTTACTATGTCTTGAACAAATGAATAAGTATAGTGGTAGAAGAAATGTTCTGGGGAACCAAAAATTGAACTTGAGACCATTTCCTCTCTATCTTACTATTTTTAAAATCAAAATCTAAATGTTAACAAATGAGAAAGGTGCATTTTTCACTCTCCTGTCTATTTTAGTCAGTGTCGCTGCTTGACATAACCAACTGAAAATGCAAAATATTTTGCCACTGGGTGGCCCGGGCCGATGGGTCTTGTTATTCTTGGACCCATTCTTGACACAGGCCAGAAGTCAGCGGGGATGAGGGAAAACCTCACAACTCCATGCCAAGCTTCCGTCCTCACGGGTGACTGCGTCAATCCTTTGGCCAACAGAAGTCACATGACTGAGCCTGGGTCAGGACACAGAGATCTATAAATATATTGTCATTCTGGGAAAAAAAGAGGATGTTAATAATATTGGGCAATTGTGCCTTTTAATGTTCTGGCCCATGATAAATTTAATAAAGTTTTCCTCAAAGTATTTTATGAATTCATGAAAAGATTATTGTGTATTTAAATACATTTATTTGTATATGTAGTCCATTTAAAAATCAATCACATGATTTAAGCATGTGGCTTAAAACAGAGGAGTTATCTATGCTTGTTGTAGTCAGGGTGTGCAAGGAGAGCAATTTAATACAGGACACATAATTTACAGGATTACTTTATAATAGTCACCCAAAGAATCAAGGTCAAAAGAGTGCAGGAAATCTGTCCACACACTAAAGACCCAAAGAATCCAGCTGAGGACCTGGACCCTACAGTAATGTCCTGCGTGAGTCCAGCTGAAGACCCAGAGCCCATGACAATGCCCCCCATGAGTCCAATGGAGGCCTAGAGCCCATGTCTATGTTTCATGCAATCCTGTTTCACGGATCTGCACTGGGAAGGCCCAAAGGTCAGTGGTGGAAACTAGAGAGTCTGAGCCAGTGGGATGAAGGGTCTGTGGCAGCAGGCTGAGGGATCTGCACTGGAGCCAGGAAGCGATGCTCAAAGTAAGGACAAGAGCTCCCCCAAAGAGAACTGCAGCCATTCTCAGCGACAACAAGGTCCTGAGCTCCTCTTATGATGAGAAAAGCCAAGTTCATATCAGGAAAGCCAGCATGACTAGCTCCTCCAGGAGAACCATCAGCTGCCGGAGAACCAACAGTACCCAGAAGAACCAACATCTCCCTAACAGTATCTCTTCTTCTTTTCCAGTTCTCCTTATTTTGTTGCCAGCAACCCTCAGGCCGGCCTCCCACACCCAGCACCACGCTAATTCAGTTCAGCTGGGTGTTACAAGTTGACCACCAGTTGTCAATCCACCACAGTGCCTACAGCAATCATTAATTGTCAGGAACATGTTTCAGTAGACATGCGCATTTTAATTTCCTCATACACCCCTTGTCAAAGAAAGCCATTTGTTACTTGTCTTGTTAGTGTAAAGAGAAAAATGGCAAGGTTGATTTATTTGCAAAAGCTGAGGAAAGCACTAGGCAATACCAAATCAAATTGCCCCCTTCTACACTAATTCTTCCCTTCTCATGGGAATTTTCATCGACCTGCGTGGTTTTACGTATTACTTATGCTAAACATTCATTTTGTAGAACTCAGGAATTAAATGTTCTGTTTCTGGAAAACATGTACCTGAATATGCTGTGAATAGCACATAATCATTATTTCCAAGTGTGCCTTGGCTGGATACTCCTGTAATTCTTACTCTGATTCATTTTCATTCACCAGCTTTCCCTTGAAGTAGAGAGGAATGATTGTGTTCCCAGATTGCACAGTTACTGTTACTTACTCTCCGTCGATGTTTTGCTTCTTCTCCCTCCTTTTTGCTGCCACAGAGCTGCCTCCCAACGCCCTCGCAGCATCCGGCTGTCTTTGTGTCCTGAGTAATAGCTACGTTAACAGCATATGATACTAAGTGTAAAATAAAAACCTGGTCTCAAAAAGATTTCCATGTGTTCCATTTCTCTATCAGGTCTTCTTAATGCTCGCTCTCTGCCCATTCAGTCCTGACGGTCCATTCCCTCCATCCTTGTTACCCAGCATTCGGACCGTGGCGTCCTGCCCTGAGAACCGTCGTCACTGCCACCTTCACAAACCCCTCTTCATTCTAACATTTGTGGCCCTCTAGGAAGTCTTCACACAGCGACCTAGCCCTGATTTCCTAACGTTCTCTCCTACGTAGGCTGCTGTTCTATAACATTGTCTTTATTGTTCTAACTTTCCTTTCTTTTTCCTTTTCTGCAATGTGGGTGTCTCCCCACAAGGTTGTTTTCCTTCTCTGTGTTCTCTCTGAGGTGGCATTCCTAGCCAGTGACTGTCGGTTTATGTAGTCCCCTCTTCTCTTCTGAGATTGAGTTTCTCATTTCCAAATGATGATGTTTCATATTATTAATGACAACGCCGTGTTCATAAAACTGATCTTAGAGCCTCAATCCCGAAGCTCCTTCCTTGGCTGACCTCTCTGCTTCTGTTAGTAGCGCTGCCTTTCTTTCAATGACTGGTGAAAAGACTGCCCCACAGCACCACCCCATGTCTTAATGAGTCTCTCTTGAAATGTGAAATCTTTTAGTGTGTTTAGTTATTTGTCCATGTTTACTCAAAATCCGTATCATCATATTCCCAAAGCACTGTGATTTCCTCACTTCCCTCTCTGTAGCAAAATTATCTATATGCTCCAGATACTCCACCATTATCCTCCATGTACCCCACCATTAGTTAGGTCACCTTGATCCTGATTTAAATCATCCTGTCTCTGTCCCCCCCCCAAAGTTTCGCATTGTTCACCACTGACAAATAGGATAAATTTCACAGCAATGGCTCAGCCATTTTAGTTTTCTTATTGGAGGAGATAAGGGCAATAAAACTCGCAGTGGGAATTCAGGTGAGCGGGACTGCTGCACAGTGACTGTTGGGGTGAGCAGGCCTTTTCTATGGAGAGAAAGAGGTTCCAAGAAGAACCGGTACTAACTCAGCAAGAATGTAACGCCCAGACTGGCACACGGAAGAGCATCAGAGAATGTGTGGAAATGACGTAGAAAATGACAAAGACAAGTACATTGAAAGACCAAAAGCTTAAAAATCTGGAAGTCAAAGATGAGAATCTCAGAAGGCTGGGACAAATTGGAGCTGCCTCTTTGGAAAGTGAAGCCCATATCTTAAGCTTGTCATGTTCTCCTTTGACCTTCCTTAATCCCTTCGAATCAATTTTTACCTATATACGTCTCTATCATGACACCACACTACAATTCTCTTTTTTAACTCTTGTCTTTAGCCTGAACTAGAGCTTAGCACCCGGCATGGGCTTGTGCATGTTCTCCTTCACTGTGTAGTGAGGTACTCAGCCCGTGTTCATCTCCCATAGATGCCTATTAATAAACCTAAACTTTCAATACTCACTCACAAAATTATTTCACATTCTTGCCTCCAAACATTTGCTGAAACTCCTCCCTTACCTCAAGTGGACCGCTTACCTCTCTCCTTTGATCTGAAGTCCCAGAATATTGACGGTTGCACCTAAGCACTGTACTATGTGCTGGGTGGAGAGAGGGCACAGACATTGCTCCTGAGGGATTTGCAGTGTGTTGAACTCACGTGCAGTCCCTTCCACCACACCCCCACATGGGCACTACCAGCCCAGTTGGTAATGAGAGAGAAAAGGAGCTCTCTTCCTCTCAGTTCAGAATCCATTCATTATGGAACACTGTGCTCTCGAGTTTTTACTTGATATTCATCTGTGATCTTGAACTCTTAACTGGTTCTCCCAGTATGATTTGTCTGTTCATTTTCTCTTCCCAGTGAAGCTGGAAATTCTTGGAGACCTAAGATTGTGCCGCTTAGACTTTGTTGCAGGCTTAGAGCTCTGTGGTATGTGCCGGGATACTCAGTGACTGGAAGTGGAATCACTTGGTAGTAGGGAGAGGGCCATTTGGGGGACCATTGCCAGTGGCCCCTGCTTTTGACCTGGAAATTCTTATGAGACAAGAGCACTGTAAGTCCAGTATGGTGCTGGTACATGGATACAGGATCAGTAAAGAACCTGAAATTCTGCAGGCTGCCAAGCTTTTGAATGCTGTTGCAGGAAATAAGCTCTCATGACCCAGCATGGCAAGTTTTTCCAGTTTTATCTTCTATTATAGCACTGAGTATTTGAACTTCATAAGCATTTAACACAGGTCCCTAATGTTTCTTTAACATGTCAAAAATACATTCCTTCTCATGACTCACTGATAATGTTTAACCATTGATACTGAGTATCCAATTTGGGGCTGACCATGTGTCTTTTTAGGTTGATAAGTTTTGCATACATTTAAATTTCACTATATATTGATGAGCAGGAGGCCATGCTAAATGTGCAAGTACTGTGTGGCATTTAAAATGGACTACATTGAAAAGCAAATGGTTGGATACACACCAGTACACTGCTGTATACAATTTCCTGATGGTGCCCTTTGCATCATAAATAACAGTGGAAGTAAATGCTCGTTTATCAGAAGGAATCAAATACTATTACTTATTTGCTGATTGTTTTTGTCTCAACAGGTGTTAAAGCCAGCTTTCGAACCTTGGTGCCGGAAGGTTTGATCCTCTTTGCAGCATCTCCTGGCAATCAGGAGGAGTATTTCGCACTTTACTTGAAGAAAGGCCGTCCTTATTTTCTTTTTGATCCTCAGGTAAATTATTAATCCTGACAGTTGATAAGTTGAGAGTAGATATTTAGTACTAAGGTAAGTGTTTGCGTTTACATGTTGAATACACATCAGAAACTTGTAAAAGGATACATAAGTGCTGCTGTTGTCCTCCCTGTACCGAGGAAGAAAATGAAAATCACAAAACTGGTACAATGCTCCCACAGCTAAAATAGCAGGGCTAACTTTCAAACCCATCCAGCCTAAATGTCTGTGTGCTTACCAACCTAATCATGAAATTTAAAATTTTTAAATAAATCAACTTGAATGGATCTATTTTTAGTTTCTTCGAGAGCAAACGTTATGCCTTTGTTTTCTTTCTTTCCCTTCTATTCTCCTTCTGTCGTCATTCTCCACTATTTCCCCAGCACCAGTGATGCACCTATGCAGGACTGCTCTACTGTGTGTCTCTAGCTCCGTAGTTGCAAATATGATTGTGCCCCTGTGACACAATGTGCAGCAGATACAGCCAAAACAGTTAATTTACACTATTTATGAATGTTGCCCAAGAGCAGTATGGGATGGTATGGACCTGAGGAACATAAGATGAAGGTGCTTTCCTCTGAAAAGTCAGTGGTCTCTGAAATGTGATGTTTGCCCACGATATGCAACAGTTAGGAAGAGTTCATCAGGACTGGAGCGAGGCCCAGGAAACACCCATGAGTGAAGAAGGAAGTTTCAGGAGTAAAGTTTTTACGCAACGCCATCAGCACGTGCTGACAGGGGCAGAGCACATTCACTGCACTGAGATAAACCTGAAGTGACTGGAGACCAGGAAATAAAGGGAAAAGTTAGGGTACTTCAGGAAACTTAAGGATAAGGACCTGGTCATGTGGAACCTTGTAAACAAAAGTGAGGATTTGAATTTTTCCTGAGGGCAATGGGACAATCACTGAACAAGTTGTCTTCACTCTCCCTAAACAAATATTGGCAAGCATTTAATATTAGGCAAGACACTGGGATCACAAGGAATTGAGAAATGAATGAGACTAAGTAAAAACTTGAATTTCCACTTCCTCGAGTCTTCAACTTAAAACATTTTATGTGATAAATTGTGCTTGGTGAGTAAACGTTTTACATTATATTTGTAAAACTGGCACATTTTTGTCTCTGTGTCCAAATTGCATCCAGGATGGGGACTAGGAGCTCTTTGTAGGGACTGCAGCATCGCATATGCTGCAGACCCAGAGACCTGGGAGGCAAAATCAGGCCTAGCTGGGTCAAATATGTGCAGTCCTCGCACCTGGCTCAAGAGGCAGGCAGAGTCCTTTGTGCTTAAGGAAGGTGCCAACTAGCACAAACAACTAGGGCAGAAAGCCCTTGGCATCTTGACAAGGGTTGGATAACTCCCTGGCTAGGGTGTTGCAGGTCTTTTCCACAAGGACTTCCCGTGTCCCCTCGAAGTGCGGCTTTGTGAATAATGTTAACAGCAGGGCCGCAAGCAACACAAAGAGACATCACATCCCAGTTACGCAAACCCAGCCAGAGAGATGGAGCTGGATGGTCACCATAGAATGCAGGACAGGTAGCAACCGGAAACAAAACACCGACCCTGAAGTTCATTCAATTACAGAACAGAAAATATTTTACATTTGAAAACGTTAAGGACATTGGAAGAGACACTTTAAGCCCAAATTAGTAGGTTAAAGATAAAGTGGAAGAACTATAAAAATATGAAAAAATAAAGATACTCTCAATATTATTGAGAAGAGATTCAAAAGGGCAACAAAAATACATGTGCAAGAAAAAGAGATATGAGAAAAATAATAGAACAAAACAGGAGAAAATGTATGATTTAGAAAAGAATTGATTATAAATATATTAAAAGAAGTCAGCAAATTTCTATCAAGCATAAGCAAAGCAAATACTTCTATAAGATCTCTTCATGTGCTGGGCATTATTCTAAATGTTGTCTCCAAGCATAAATACACACTCACACATCTACACACATGTGCTTACAGAAACATACATTCTTTTGAGCTTCTTAGCAATTCTATGAAGTAACTACTCTTATTATTCCCTCATATTACAGGTAAGGGAGTTTGAGCCAGAAGTAAATTAATTTTTCCCAAGTCACACAATTAGTAAGTAAGAGATATTAAATTCAGACAATCTGGCTCCAAAGACTATGGTTTTTGCAATCAAGCTGTGCTTTCAGTACAAAAAGAACAACTGATTAATAACCAAAGATTTGGAGAGAAGATGGCACATGTACCATTTTCATGAGGAATATTTCAGCAAGACATCTACATAAAAGGGAAATAATAACTGAAGGCCAACATATAAAAAAGGAGGAGCCGTGGTAAAGAAAGAATCCAACAATATGAAGTTAAACCTGAATCTTTGAATTCTGGTTGACCAGAAGATTGTGAAATAGAAATATGGTAATGACAAGAAAAAAAAAAAGATCTCCTAACCCCGCTCCCCGACAGATCTACTAACTGCTGCTAAAAATTAGTGAGTGGAAGGAGATGGAGATATGAATGAATTGAAATATTGTGAAAGTATCAGCTCTGTTGGGGAAGGTTTCCTTGTGGAACTTTGAAGTGTGCAGCCTAGGGCCATTCTTCCGTCAGCCCCTGGAGACAGGGGTTGTTACCCCGCTGTAGATGGAGTGGCCTAACTAGGGCTGCACAGTGCTTTAGTGACAGAATTGGCACCGGGTGCAGTTTACCTCGTTCCATGTGACTTTTTAAGGGGTTTATTGCCGATCGGGTACTATGTGCACTTGGGCACTAGGCACCAAGAGATGAGAAGTGAGCGAAACGCCACTCACTACACAGTGACTGTGTGTATTTATCATTGATTTTGAGTATTTAGCAAATACATACGTGTGTGTACACACACATACACTCTACACATGAAAGACAGTGTTTGGAGAACTAATCCAAATACATTAGCAACAAATCCAAAACACGCCAACCATCTCTTTCCATATGAGTGTTGTTCCTCTTTCTGAAGGGTGTGATTATTTTTAAGATCAAAAAGTAGAAGGAAGAGGGTCAAAGAGTGCTTCGCTCTGTTCAGCCGTGGTGTTGCTTTGATTCCGAGATTGGCTTCTAGTGAACTCTCTCATCATGTTGAGGACTTTTCTTTTGGTACCGGGAATCAAACTCAGGACCTTGTGCTTACCAGGCAGGTACTTGCACCACTCAACTATATCTCCAGCAGGGCTTTCACAGTGATCAGAGCACACAAAGCACAGTAGTCACAGAGTTCACGGGGTGTTCCCAGGGCACCAGACGTCATTTCTGCCCCTTATACTTCTCTCTCGGGCAGTCACCCCTCAGCTTTCCCATCTGCTTTGTCCCTACCCCAGCTGTGGCTGAACCCTAACCTGTGTGTGTGGCTCGTAGGCACAGGAAAGCACTAATAAAATGGTCATGGACACAAATTGGTAGCCAAGGGAAGTAGGGAGGGTTTAATGACACCGCATAAGTGAATTTCTACCTAGAATTATAATCTTCATTCACAAGGCAAAAGCTGCATGGGTTTTTAGCACACTGAGAATTAATATATTATTTGAAAAGTACTGTGTTGGTTGAGCAGGAGTACCTTAAGACATATTTGAGAAGATGTAATCTGCTACATTATACTGAGTGCTCAGGTGTCCCTAAGCAACCCATGAAGCAGTGAACTCAAGCGAGCAGAGTGGATCCATCCTCATGTCCCAGGAATTTAGGTCTAATGCAGGGGAACCAGACCTCTTTACTAACTTGAAATGAGGACCTCAGTTATTTTTAGACAGTTGTTGATACAGAGGGATAGAGGAACTTTTGAAGAACGTTTTATGATTTGTTTCTTTTTGGATAGGAAAATAAATATAGCTTATACAAATTTAGAGCAACTGTACTTTAGAGAGTATAAAGGTTTGTTTTCTATGCCTCCTATTGTCAGTACAATTATTTGTATTTAGAATTCTCCAGGAATCATTTTCTGCCAGTTTTCTTTCCCTTTTGTCTTCAAACATGGACAAGATTATCTATACCAAGACCTTAGTATACTTACATACTTAGTGTGTCTTTCTTCTCAGAGTATACAATCCAGTGAGGCAAAATCTCTATTTTGTCCATAAACATACCCCAAGACCTAGCCGAATCCTTGGAACATAATAGAGACTTAATAAATGAGTGTCCTTTGATGGAGTGGCTAGCTAATTAATTGGAGAACTATTGGTAAAATACTACTAGTCATAATTAAAGATGCTATGGGTGAAAATGTCCAGCTTTTGATGATTATGTGACAATTTAGTATTTATTTGTTTTGTTTCTTTGCCTGGTAATTTGACTTCCATGGGAAAAAAAAAAGATTATATTTAACTTCCTGAAGCCATTAAAAATAAATAAATTTTGAATTGCAAAGAGAATGTCTTCAGGAAATTTTAAAAGCTACTCTTTCACACTTAGTTTTATAATGAGTCATCTTACATTTTGCTTTTTAGAAAAATATCCTAAAACTTGAATAACACATTCTTTATGTAACTATAAGCTTAGCATTTGGGCTATGCATATAAAACCTTATTTGCTTTAATTACCAACACCCCAGTGTATTACATTGAATAAAGGGGGGATAAAATTCTTCATAGTGTTTAAAGTTGGATATATATTTATATATTACTGATGAAAGTCTTGGAAACATTATTAAGGTATCTAAAAAAGAAAAGTTGGGGTATCCAAAAAAGAAAAGAAAAGTTAATTCTCATATATGCTTACTATGGTTGTTTGTTAAGCCTCAACAATTAGCTGTAATCTCACATTTTCTTTGTTGGATTTCAATTTTGAATACACTTGATCAAATATTTTATTGACTGATAACAATCCATGCTTGTCACTTAAGTGTTCTATGTTCAGTGACACTAGCAGAGAATCCATAGAACATTCTGTTTAGAGTTAGACAGAAGCTGTAAAAGTGAAAGCTTTCAAACAATTCTGAATAGCATCTATGTAATGTGTCTGATATTTTTCAAATGGAAGGAATAATAAATAGCATAATACAACACCAGAACTTACTGTTCTTTTTACACTGAAGATGAGGAAGAGGAGAGGAAGAATTTTAGAACCATCACCCAAAACTACTATTTTAGTTTCCTCTAAGTATAGAAGTGAGCTTGGCACACTGTGGCTGTAGGTTAGGTACTCGAAATTGTCTCCATTAAACGTGATTTCTGATGTAGAGAACTACGAATGCTTCAGACTGTTGCCAAACAAAATATGAAGAGCCACTTAGACACCTGATCTTTGGAATGCGGCATCGTTTGTAACAATTTTAACGCTAAGTACACTTTGATGAGACAGCATTTAATAAAATGCTCATTAATTTCATCATTAGCAAGGGTATGCTAAGAAGTAAGCCAGTTTCTTATGTCACGCCCAATTAGCATCCATGCTAGTAATCCCATTAGTATTGTTGAATCCGCTAATGGAAAAACTAATGGGCATGCTACCAGGGCACATTAATTGGGCACGACACCAGTTCTGCTTTTAATTATTAAACCACAATAACGAAATGTGTGTTTATAAAATATTAAAATGTTGAAATAGTGTCGAAAAAATAAAAGTGTGTGCAGGAGAAAACAGATATGCAGAGAGTCAACCTACAAAAAAATTCAAGGACCAGCAATGGTCCAAAGGGTCATGTGTCTAGCTCATGGGGTTGTCTATGAAAGTTGGGATACTGTCCATATGAGAAGCAACCCACTCATGCTCTTGGGAAATTAAAAATTGTTTTATTTTCCCTTTGGTGTCATGAGATTCTGTGTGCCACATATATTGTCAAGGATGTTATGAAGTGCAACAGGAGCCAATGAAATGTGCAGCATGGGCAGTTATATCATTGAGCTATTTTAGGAAACTACAAATGTTTCACTTATAATGCTGTGGTTAACATTGTAGTTTTCTCCACAACAGTCTCCAAGTCTGTCACATCAGAAAATTGCCAGTTTCCTCTTATGAGAAAGAGTGTAGCAAAATTATTAGAGTTTGTTGTAACATTCCAGGTAATTGAAAGGATTGTAATATTTTACTTTACCTAATTTTTAGTTTAAAATATTGATTGGAATGAAGTTTATTTTTCTAAGTAAAACAACATCATTCAGTACGATATAAACTGATTTTCATTTAGTTTTAGTCTTGTTTTTCTTCAATACTGGTAAATGAAATCGATGATGAAGTTGGAATTTATTTTGCTCAGTCTTCTTTGCCTATTAAGACTAAAGAGATTTCCCTTGTGTTAAAGATAACATTCCAAAAAAGTACTCACTTAGCTCTATAGTACTGAGGCAGCAATTTTCCATCTAGTACTCTTTCTTTTCTTCCTTAACCTCAGGTTCTTTTTGCTAATCTCTCTTCTTGGCATCTTCTATTTCTTAGGTTGCAACCACTTATGAACACATTTTTAACTGTTACGCTGTTATAATAGCAAGAATTTGCATGTTAGATTTTATACTACAAAGAATTATGTAGTACTCCACATTTAAGTTCAGGGTATTTACTACTCACTATTTTATTTGGTGGTACTGGAAATTGAGCCAGGACCTTCACATTGATCTACATCCCCAGTTCTTTTTTTTTTTTTTTAATTTTTATTTTGAGACAAGGTCTCACCAAGTTGCAACCCTCCTGCCTCAGCCTCCTTCCATACTGGGATTGCTGGCCTCATAACCACACGTGGTTAACTATTCACTAATTTTTAGTGTTAATTTCATTCCTTCTTATTAGTAGTTTAGTGAAGAAAAGAGAAAGTAACTTACCTGACATTTCTCTATCTTTGGAATGAATTCTCATTGATATTCTATTAATTTTAAATTCTTCCCTGCTTTTACATAGTTCTGCCATGAAAGTTAAAGCCTAAAGTTTTAGAATACTCATTACTTTCCTCATGAACACAGATACTCGAAATCCAAGTGGCTTTGTGGGAGACTCTTACTCCTCAGAGAACTTCCTTTCAGATTCAGACCCTGAAGCTCAGAACCATAAGCTTCAGGAGAGACAGACCCATGGGAAACAGCAGCTTTAACTTTCAGTTCGGTTTAAAAGTGAGGGCTTCATCAGCATCATAAAGAGGAAATTGTTCTCTGACACACACATCGCGTCTGTGTGTCTGATTGCTCTCATCCATCCATTCATTCATTTGTTCTCTGAAGGGATCCCCAGTGGAAGTCACCACAACTGATGATCACGGGAAGCAATACAGCGATGGCCAGTGGCATGAGGTCGTTGCTGTTAGGCACCAGGCTTCCGGCCAAATCACTCTGGATGGGCAGTATACAGGTAAGCAGTTCTTTGGTCCAGATGCAGCTCTATTGCTAAGCTCATATTGCCACATGACTGGGCACTCAGGCTTCTGCCTCTGTCCCTGTCACCAAGATCTCTGGTCAGTGTCACCTAAATTGCAGTTGAACTTAAGCTGCTCCTGAATGGTGATGTCTGGCACCTAGGTTCTCACCACGCAGGCTTCTGTAAAGCAAAACACGGGCAAAGTCACTGGTCGCCACTCAAGGGCTTTTGATCATCTTTCCTCACACTGCTTTGACCTCCAGAAAGCAAAAAAGGAGAGGAAAGCAGTACCTGCATTTAGCAATGATGAAATCAAGGCTCAGGAGTGTGAGCAATGTTCCCTGGTGTGCACATCTAACAGGCAGCATTCTGTATGCACGCATCCTGTTTTGTATTAGTTTTCTTTCCAGCCTGCTGAGCCTACCATTCACATATACTGATAAAAGTCACTGAACCTGTGTGATAATGAGAGCTTTTATTAATTCATATAGACGAGGTATAATTTTATGGGCACCTACTATGTCCCAGGTATAATTCTAGGCATCTGGTTACAAAAACTACACAGGACTTTATTGTCCTAGTCACTTTCCTCTTCAGTCCCTGAGACACAGTATCCAACACCCACTACCTGGAGAAGGAGAGATTCACTTTGGCTCGCAGTTTGCAGAGGTTCCAGCCCTTGCATAGTTGGCAGTGTGGTGGAAGGGCTGGGTGTGGAGAAAATCTGCCCATGTTCTGACCAGGAAGCAGCGAGAAAGGTCAAGGAAGGATCGAGGAGGAAGATGAACTCTCCCAAGCCAAGCCCCCAGTGACGGCCCTCTTCCAACCCTCCCCATCCTCTGAAATGAGCAGATCTGCTAGAAGCCCCATAATCGCCTTCCACACTGCCCCATGAGTGTGAGGCTCTACATCTAGAGAAAAACCACAGCCATGGAGAGATGACATCGTGGAAGGTTACGGGAAGCAGAAAACAGAACAAATAAAGATGGCCCAAGTACCAGGGGGTGGTTAGTTCTGGGAATGGGAGCAGAGTAGGAGAGAAGGGTGGGTGCTTCTGTGTTGATGCCCATGTGTCTGAGTGGAGAAGAGCATTGCATTTGCTACAGGATTTCAGGTCAGTGATCTGAAGCCAGATCATTTTATTCTGAAGGGGGGAAATCGGCAGAGGATTTGGAGAGAGAGAGGAGTGACCAGATACTTCCTTCACAGAACATCTCTGGCTGCTCTATTGAGAATAAATTTTAAGAGAATAAGAGTGGAAGCAGGGACGCCAGTTAACAGACTTCTGCAGTTACTCTGTTACTCACTATTGGTGACTCAAACCAGGGAGACCGTTGTGGACAGAATGAGAAGTGGTCAGAGTGTGGATGTATTGTGCATGTCGAGTTAACAGGCTTTGATGATATGACTGAAGGAGAGCACGGGTTGTATGCTGTCACCAGTGAGGTGAATCCAGCCCATGTCTGTTTTAATAACCAAAGTTTTCTTGGAACACAACTCTGCCCGCTTGTTTGTGTATTACTCATGCCTGCTAGAGGTGACCACCTGCCTGCTGAGGGAGGCTGCTGGCCTTGCTTATAAACAGTTTCCAGGTTTGGGACCTCAGTAGGTGGAGGAGTGTAGCTGTCAGAATTAGGGCGTGCAAGATGCTGGGAGAAGATTTGGAAGGGGACCTGCAGAGCTGAGCTCTGAGCCGGTTACGTCTTAGATGTCTGTGGGATATGCAAGTGGACACAGCAGGGAGGCTGCAGACAGAATCTACTAACAGGTCTGGGTGCCAGGAGGGCCTCCAGATTGAAAAGTGAGAGTTGCCAGCAAAGAAGGGACCAGACGTAAGTAGGGCGCATTAGAATGTATAGGGCTCTGAAAAGTACAAAACAATGAAATTTATCTTCCTCCCAAAGGAGCAGAGCGTAGACAGAAATCTTAATGGGGAATTTGCATCATTACAGAATAGCCAGGTATGCAGGCTCCTCTTCTGGTCTTGGGCCCTGGTAATCTGCCCAGGGTTCAGCTCACTGTTCATCCCTTGGCAGGACTCTGAGCAGAAGGGGGAGGCCTGAGAAGAAGGAGAGAATTCCTCCAACATCACAGTGTGGGGACTGTGAGGAGAATCAGCAATGCATACAAGTTGAAGGGGACAGGGTGGTGTTGAAGGACTCAGAAAAAAGGCTTTGCCCCGTCAAATTAGCAGCTAGCAGTTGTTGTCCTGCTGTGGCTGGACTTCCATCTTCTCTTCCATAGGCTCCTCGGCTGCCCTGAACGGCAGTACCATCATCGGAGACAACACAGGACTGTTCGTGGGTGGCTTGCCCCACGGTTACACCGTCCTGAGGAAGGAGGCTGGTGAGTTCACTGTAGAGTTACAAATTGCCCCCAGCACTTAAAGTCAACTTCCATTAGTTTAAAGTCTGACTAGGTATTGTGTTCTATCTCATGCTGTGTTTTCTATATTGTGTGTCAAAATTTGCCTTTAGGGTTCTTCTTTATTAAAGGAACCATGTATATTGGTATGCTTCCCAAGCCTTGATATGGAAAAGAAGTTTAGTGAGCATTTGCTGAAATACATTGTACTAATTTCAGTCACAGGTATATTATTTTAGGACTTATGCATAGATTTTTTTAAGGTTTTAAATTCAGTGTAAATAATCCAGAAATAGAAAAAAATGAGCCTAATTTACATTCTAAATAGGATGAGGATCATTCCCCAAGTACTGACTGTCACCAAACCAATCCCTACGTATTCACAGATGATGAAGATGTGATCTTTGTCACAGTGGAGAGAATAATATCTAAACAGAAAATGCCAGCACAGTGCTATAGTTGAGGTATATCAATAATTTCTACATCTTTAGGACAAGAGAACAAAAGCACACTCTAGAACTAATAAAAATTAATCTGAATGAAATGAGTCTTAGGTAGAAAATAACCACCCTTCAAATACATTGCTAAGGCTTTTAGAGTTTTTCCCAAAGTCTCATTCCCAAATTTCTTCTAGAAAATTACAGTGTAGCTACACAAATGTTACAAAGCAGCTAGGACTCAGATGAATATAATCTTTCCATGAGTGGTGGTATTCATGGGATCATGGTGAAAAAGATCAAAAGAAGCAAAATGTTTTTGGTACAGTAGGAAGAGGTATTTTGAATTTTCAAAATCAATTAACAGTTACCCCCTCAGAAATGTTTCTAGCCGAGAGAATGTCCATTCATTTGACTAATTTAGGCTGATCTAGGAATACCTCTAACACACACACACACACACACACACACCCCACTTTCATTCTGCTTCTTTGCCCTCTTGGGCAATGGCTGCTCTAGGTGCCAGAAGGAATGAATATTCTGGTGCCAGCTGCTTTTCCTGCAGAGGTACCCCTCCATTATACATGAATACATTGACATGGCATGCACAAATTGGCCTTCAGATCTCTGCTGGTAAACACCTGCCCTGGAAACAAGTAAAAACTCGGAGATGAGACAGCTCTCTACCCCACAGGGAAGGGCACAGCCATGCAAAATACACCTTTTCTCTCTGTGTCAGTATTTTTCTGCCTTCCTGCCTCATTCTACCCTTTTCCCACTTTCTCATTCTCTTATTTTCTCCCAAACCCCAGAGTATGTAAGACTTGCTATGCTCATATGCAGTACCCTGCATCTACCTGCTCTTCAGACTTCCCAATTTAAAGTCAACATCACACAAAATCCCAAATGAGAAATCAAATGATCAGTTCATTTGGATACTGGATTGGTCCATCCTGATGAAGGAACTGTACTATAAGTACAGCTTGAGTAGAAGGGTTTCCTTTGATCTTATTTTTAAAAGTTGTCACAGCTGTTTAGCATTGAGGCTCCTAAGTGAAACTTCTGTGTTAGTGCAAAAGGCAATAAACTTGCTAGCACTGTGAAGCCTAGGTTTTTGCATAAACATCTGTATCTGGAGTATAATGGATCTGAACCACAGCTCAACACATAATTACTCCCATTGACCATAGCGGATGGTGTGGTGTTGACCTGAATTATTAGAGGCTTGCAGTAAGTAGGTGGTGAGAGTTACTGCTTATTTTTTTGTTTTTTAATGGGACATACAATTAATTGCTTAAAGAAGAATCTTTCAAAATATATCATCGGCATGTCTTGACACCTGCCAATTCTTGCAGAGATTATCCAGAAAGGTTTTGTGGGCTGTCTCAAGGATGTGCATTTTATGAAGAATTATAATCCCTCTGCTCTTTGGGAACCTCTGGACTGGCAGAGCGCTGAAGAGCAAGTCAATGTGTACAACAGCTGGGAGGGATGCCCTGCTTCGTTGAAACAGGGAGCCCAGTTTCTAGGAGCAGGTAATGTCCACAATAGACTTTGGTGGTTGTTTATTCTGGGTGTTAGTCAGCTGTCCATCACTATACCAAAGCACCTGTCATAATCAACTTATAAAGAGAAAAGGTTTATTTTGACTGACAGTTCTAGTGGTTCCAATCCATGATCATTTGTACCTGTGGCTGTGGGCCTGTGCTTGTGAGGCAGCATGTTAAGGGGGGAAGTAACGGTGGAGCAAAATTATTCACCTCGTTGCCAGGAAGCAAGAGAATGCAGGGAACCCAGGGAACCATGATCGTCTCCAAAGTTGGGGACCTAAACATTTCCCACTAAGCCCCATGTATTAAAGTTTCCACTACTTCCCAATCATGACCCCTTGTGGAAAAGGCCTTTTTAACCCATGGGACTTTGGAGCACATTCAGGATCCAGTCTATAGCAGCATGATGTCCTCTTATCGGCATAATCTGTCCCCTCCTGTCTGTTTTTGACTTCATATGAATCTCTCCTCACAGAAATGCATAGCTCTGCCGGGAGCACGTAAATATATTTTAAAGCCTGAAAAGGTAATAAAATCATAAGATTCATAAGTATATATTTGCATGTAGCACTTCTGGTGGCCCACATAGCTCTTGGCTTACCTATGTTGGTGTCACAAACATCCTATAGTGAGATTGGTTGTTTATTAAGTAGCTTACTCTGTCTTCAGAACAGAGAAGCAGCTGATACTAATAACATTATGATCTGTGTACTTTTTCATTGCTTTTTTCTCATTAATGCCATTGCACTGAGTTTTTCTTAGTGTGACTACTTATTGCTAATACTTATATGAAATGATCTTGCATAATACAGGCTTTTATGTGATTTAGGAAGTAAATTGCATCCCTTTAAAAGGCACGTCAAGTTCATCCTGCCACGTTGGTACAATTACAAAGGGGGATTTCATAACACTGATTGGCCTTTCTTTTGTGAGACATTTATACAATGATACATAATGTCCTGGGGTCTTACAACACCCTCAGTGCTGGATTGCTTTATAAGGCTAACATGTACATGTTCTTGCTCTTAAAGGGTTCCTGCAGCTTCAGGCAGACGTGTTTTGCGGTGGAATGGATTTTGAGATTTCTCTTAAGTTCAGAACTGACCAAGTAAATGGATTGCTTCTTTTCATTTACAACAAAGATGGACCTGATTTTCTTGCTGTATGTTAATTTAATTAAATGTACCTTTAGATGTCAGGCTTAATTTTAAAAGAATATTATACTGGATTGTGGCTTCTTTGCTAATTCACTTTTGTAATTTTTCCCGAAACATTTTTTAGTTTAGGGTCCTGTGAAATGTTTTATTATCTAGGGTTAAAATAATCATTCTGTGAAAATTGCAATTTTAACAAAACTGTCTAGATATAAAGAATTAAGAAAATGCAATTCAGTTTCCCAGAATGTGAAAAATATAATTTCCTTATTTAATTTTGATATAGTTTCAAAACAATACAATTGATATATGTTTTCTATTACATATAATAAAGTATAACAGTAGAATGAAAATTCATAAGCATATCACACAACCCAAGAACTAAATTATCACTATATATTACTAGGCATAAAGTATCTCCTATTCTGTTTCTCTGTCTCCCACCAGAGATAATATACAGTCAGAATTTTGTGATTATTATTACTTTACACTTTATAGTTAGAATATCATACACAAATACCAAAACACTTGTCTTTGAAAAGTGGTATTCTGGGGGCTGGGGATCTAGCTCAGTGGCATAAGCGCCTGCCTGGCAAGCGCAAGGTTGTGAATTCAACCCCTGGCACCACAAAAAAAAAAAAAAAAAGAAAAAGAAAAGTGGTATCCTGCCAGGGTGCTCCACACACCTGTAACCCTAGCACTCTGAGAGGCTGAGGCAAGAGGATTGCAAGTTTAAGCCCATCCTGGGCAGTTTAGTAACTTATCCTGTCTCAAAGTAAAACAAAATGCAACAAAACTGGCTTTGTGCTCCATCTTTAGACAATCTCCGTTGGTGCCCACACCAGCTCTGAGTCATTCTCATTTCCACGTTGGTCTTTATTCCCCTGGGCTCTCTCGCTCTTCTTCTCTCACCAGTGGTGGTTTGGTTGTCCTGCGTTTGCTGTGGTGGATAAGAGTGCTGTGAACTTCTGACGAGCCTTTCTAACTTGTCTTGCATGTCTGTCTGTACGCTGCCCCTCTGCCTTTCCTTAAAGTTAGTGCCCCCATGCCACCGTGTTTGTTAGCTCCTCTCCACGACTTTTTACTTCTAAAAACCTTACTTTAATTTTTCCTAATTCCAAAGGAACAAAAGACATCTGTCTTCTGCCACCATGCTACCCTATCTTGATCATAGTTTTGACCCCACCCCTATGTTTACCTCTCCAATTAAGGTGATTGTTAGCAGTTACAGCAGCAGGTTATGAACATAGTTTTAAACCCAGTATTTGTGGAATGAAAAGCTGTTAAATGATGCCAGCTTACCTGGTGTACTTCCTAAAGAAGATATTTACATAAATACATAATTTTGTCTGGTATGATTTTGTTTTGACAGAATTGATCTCAAACTTTCAACTATCCTATGGTTGCTGATTTGACTTCTAATTAAATAAAAGTACTTTAGGTAAAATAATTATCAGGTAACATTTTGAAAGAAAACATGTGTGTATTTCCTTTTCTATGAATATTTGAATAAAATTTGTTCACATTAGAAAATGGCACATTAATCTAAAGGAATACACATAGAAGCAATTATGTGAGAGATTTAGAACAAGGCTGAAATATTGAATCAAAATACATCTTACAAATTTGAAATTGAGTTTACTAACCAGTTAAAATAAGCTTCATCAAGCTTGACATTTCATTTTCTTATTGTCTTGTCATATTTCCCCCAAAATTAAATTGATATATGAAGTAGAATTTTCTCATTTTCTAAAAACTCAAAAATACAGCCATAGTTCAAGTATTCTGTTCCCTTCAGTCATCCCGTCACTTAGACTAGGATTTCATCTTTTAAGTATTATTTTTTTTGAGTTTAGGATTATCTAATGCTACATCACGTAGCATAATCATTCCTGGGTATGAATTTATTTGACTCAATACAACATTCCTCGTGTCAATCGTAAGTTTGCGAATCATTTTCATTATCTGTTACCCCAGTTCTGCTTAGGATAAAGTGGAGCATTTTTATAGAGTGCTTTCAGGGAAATTTCTTGCTTTTCTTCAAGAAATTGACCTTCTGCTCTCTCTCAAACTGCAATTCTGCAGCCTTTTTATACACACCTATTTCTTCTTTAATGTGAAATACAGGTAGAGCTGAAGAATGGAGTCTTGAGCTTCCGGTCAAATGCCAGCCTTACCTTTACACAAGTGGATCTATGGCTGGGTCTGTCCTACTGTGACGGAAAGTGGAACGAAGTCAGTATTAAAAAGGAAGGACCCCTCCTAGCCGCAGGGGTGAACGCACTGATGGAGCGCTACTCAGCCTCTGCAGCGCAGCCCCTGGTGGTGAATTCGCCCGTTTACGTAGGGGGCATCCCACAGCACCTGCGAGGCACTTTTCGGCACTTGAGTCTGGAACAAGGTGAGTCACCTCTAGTGGAACGCAAAGGTCAGTGCAGCCCTTATCCTATCAGGTTTGATGGTTGTGTTTCAAGACATGACAGTAAACTCAGGCTGCTAGTAATATCCACCAACACCTTCTCCCTTTTTTTGGAGAATCTTAAGTCTTAAAAATAACCACTCAATATGTCTTCAAATAGTTTCCTATGTTACCCTTAAGAGTACGCTGTCATCTCAGTTGCAATCAGCATGTTTACTCCATCATGTCTGCAGCAAACATAAATATTTTTACGTATAATTGCATACATAGAATGTATAGTATGTATTAATATATTCTATATCATACATAGTACAGTATGTGGTATGTACTTAATGTATTTATTACAAATAATATGCAGATAATTATATAGGTGAAATGCAGAATATTATATGTATACAGTTGTATATGATATATAATGGAGGTAAATATATTCCCTTTTATGTCTTCCTTGAAAATATACATGGTTCTGGCTCTTGCTGATATTGGTCAAAAATGTTGATGTGCACTACTAGAAAAAATGGCAAAGAAATGTATTACTTTTGGGGCTTTTTCTGATATAAGCGCTAGTTGTCCCCATGCTTTTTCCACTACAACTTTCACGCCACAACAGCACATGAATGAGTGGCTTTAGTTGAATTCCAACCACTAGTCGTGAAAAATGTCTATGTTGCTGATTACTAATGACCACCAAGGAAAGGAAAAATGTGCTGCTCATAGTTAAAGCAAGCATTACGCTTATAGATGTTTGAGCATAGCTAGAGAAGTTATGTACATAAAAAAGGCTAATGACAGCCAAGCACATCAGGTCTGTGCCGAAGTGAGTTGGCTCTTCATGAGAAGCATGAGTTAGGCCTGTGATTCATATCCCTATTTTATAGTTGACTGCACTTGAAAACAGAGAGGAAAGAAACTTGCCCAAGATCACATGGCTGGGGAGCAGATGGCCAGAGTGAGTGTGTCTGAGGCAACCTGGTGGCTCGGGCCAGCATCCTCATTATTATCAAACACCCCTCTGTGCACGCTGGCCCAGATGGCTTCTCTCTAGAGTGGAGAAAGCCCAGAGCTCCCGGCATGTGAGCAAGCACATCCCAGGTACAAAATGCTCTCTATGCATTGTAAAATGTAGGTACCATTAATGGTTAAAATTTCCAGGAAGCAGTCTTTGCCTATTTGGTAAGTACATAAAGATTTAAATGCCTCTGAATGGAAAATATATGACAAGCTCTAAGGAGACTTTAGAAGGGTAGTAGTAAGGAGTTAATGAATAACTGAGGGGTAAGACAGTAATGACATTCTCAAGGCATTTAAGATGTAACAGCAGCTAAAAATATTACCTGCGTAGAGGAGCTTCTGCAGGGTTTCAGGCTTTTGAGGTTAGAAAGGACTTGAAAACTCCTTGTATGAGTGAGGTTATTTGATCCTGTTTATAACTAAGGAAATAAACAAACCTGCCTCCACAGCCTTTTCCTCCTGACTTACACCTCACTCCACAATTACTGATAGTCCTGGAGACATGGCTAAAATGAAATTTAAGACGATAAAGATAGAAATTTAAAACATCAACAGAGACCTAAGGAGAGTAATTTTACCCAGACCAGGACTAGGTCTCTGATCCTGAAGGATATTTTATTTATGGGTAATAATAAATTTTTATCATTGCAGCATCATTCTTATCAGAGGTCCTCAAACTGCTGATAAAATATTGATGTATAGTAGCTAAAACATGGTAAAAAATCAAAATTAGCTATTATTACTAGCCAAGTACAAGGGTATCAGCTAGAAGGATTACTGAAAATGTAGATTTTTGTGTCCCTCATTCCTTGAGATTCTGACTTTATGCTTCGAGAAATGATGATTTGTATAAGGAACTGGTATTTGATCAGGGAGAATACAAATTCGGCATGCAGGTGGTCAACCGCAATTAAAATGAATCACACTCCCTTCACATTCTTTCACTCTAATATCAAGAGTCTTAAAAATCTTTCTTCTTTCTTTTCTGTCTTTCTGAGTTACATTTTTGTCAAAGGCTCTATTTTCTGGTCAGATTAGTGCTGTTTTTCTTATCCATTAGTATTGCAATCTTCCTTTGAATCAAATGTGGAATTAATTTCCTTTTCATTTTTTCTTCTCTCCCCATTTTGGAAGAGAAAGCATAATTTGCTAGAAATGGTGCACCTCCTCGGGTCATGGCGGGCGTCTTCTTAGAAGCATTGCGTAGGACAGTCACTTATGTCTATCTATGTCGGTGTGGCACATGGTGTCACTTGTTCTACACAGGGCCCCTAAAGGACGCGGCGGGACAGGCTGCTGCCGGACCACGCTTCCAGAGAAAGGGCCACTGTTTTTCTCATTCATCATCCTGGAGCTCTGGGCCACCTTTCTGTTATTTAGAGACCTGGGCAGGGGTGGCACGTGTGTAGAGAGGAATAAGAAAGGTGATTTTCACAGAGGCAGATAGCAAGGGAGGGAGTCGCCGTTCCTCTGACAGACACATCCTTTCCATCATTCCGCTCTTCTTGCCCTCACATTTCACTCAAATTGTGGGGTCTGATGGGGAACGCTTTTGGGGTACAGAGTTGCCCGTGGCCGGCACTGGAAGGCACACAGTGCAGACTTTGCAGGTGCGTTCAGCGGCCTCACCTCCCAGATCGAGGCTGGAGGACTATTTCCTTAGGAGGATGGATACTTACGAAGCTCATTCTGCAACTACCTGAATGTTTTCTCTCTAGAAAGACTACTATGTCTTTTGTGAGCTTTTTCATTAGTACATATTTGCATTACACGGTGTTTGCATTCCTCGTGTGGAGTTGGTACCTGCACAAAAAGCTGCACTTTCTTTTCTCATCCTCTTTCCCTTCCTCTCTTCCTCACTCCCCTCCATCTCTTAGTCCCTTCCCCTCTGAGGAAGAGCTGTCTCCCTACTTTCTATTACCTATCTTTACTTTGCTCTTTATTTACATTTGGGACATGTATATATACATGTATGTGTATATATATTCTGCAATATTTAAGCTGTGTGTCTGATTCATTTCACTTTATAGTACAGCCTCAAGGTATATTCATTTTCCTACAAGTGACTCAAATTTAGCTTTTTTATGGCAGAGTAGTACTTCACAGTGTGTAAATACAATTTCTTCACTCATACATCTGTGGATGGATTTACAGGCTGCTTCGAGATTTAGCTATTGTGAGTGGTACTGCTAGCAGCACAGGTATGCATGGGTCATTGTAATATCACTTCTTCTAGCTCTTTGGGGAAGTTGCCTAGAAGGAGAATAGCCAACTCAAATTGCATTTCTAGTTTTAGTCTTTTGAGGAATCTCCATCCTGATTTCCATAGTGGCCATACTAGTTTACATTCTACCAACAATGTAGAAGGGTTCCTTTTCCCCGGCAGCCTCTCCAGCAATTTTTGCCTTTACCACATTTTAAAATTCCATCTGGTCAGTTAATTCTTTTTCTAATTTTTAAAATTTTCCTAATTTTAATTTTTTTCTAACTTTTTCTAACTTTTCAGTGCAGTATTGCAGCATGTAATGACTACTTTGTCATGGAAGCTGACACATGTACATAACTCACGGCAATTCTCTTTTCATCCCCTGGCTTTCCCCTCCCCACTCTCCCTCTATCTCTCGGTCCCCTTCTTTTTTGCAAAAGATCTACTTCCCTATTCCCCATGGCATTTTAATATTGTTAAATTTAAATTTTTTTTAAATTGTAGTGAAATACAAAGCAACATAAAGCTCACCCTTGTAACCGTTCTTAAGAGCCCAGTTCAGAGATATTAAGTACACAAACATTGTTGTGTAGCTGTCACCACTGTCAGTCTTGAGGAGTGTTTTCATCAGCCAAACTGTACAATAATATGAATTTCTTAAAATGACTCTTACGTGTTTGCCAAAGCCGCTTTTGTTTGGCCAAAGCATTTCAATGGTCTCATCTGGTTGCAAGGAGTATTCAAGTACAGGGAAGCCAGGTAACTCAGTTATGTGTCTTCAGAAAATTACTGCTGGTACAAATCTGGGCTTCTGAGCTTCTAAATTCTCCAGCAGGTGCTTTTACACTGAGCCCCACTGCTTTCAATCCAATTCAGCCAAACTGTTTGGTGTCTACTGTGTGTTTAAGATAGACTCACAATATTGATCAGTTGGACCTAAAGAAATGTCAATGAGAGCAGGTGATTCAAAAGAAAGTGGGCTGCAATTTAACGTTAGAGGACCCCGTATAGAAGCTGAGGAGAGCAATGTGGTCATTCTAATGTTGAGAAGAGCTAAGCCTATGTGTGAAGCCTTTCAAACTTGATGATGCTTTGTGCAGGGAGAGCATGCACACTGCCATGGTCTCTGTCCGGGCCTCTTGGTCCCAGTTTTGTGCAGATTTCTGGGTAGAGTCCTGCCATACTCCAGCGAGCTGATCTCTGTTCACATAATCCGGCGCGTGATTCAGAGCAACAGCTCTTCCCTGGCTGACTGGACGCCTTTGCTGCTGTTGCTGTTGCTAATTCTCTAACAAAACTCCAGATCCGTTTCACCCACACTCACTGTGAAACTACAGAAGGGTGCTGCACAGTGATTTTTCTAAGGCCACCTCTGTAGAACACACACTCAGGGAACCTCATGACATTAAGTTTCCCAGAGCTGAATGCTAAAACTTTATGCATAAAGCCCGGGTGTACTTGGGGTGTACGCTCCCTGTGCATATTCAAGTCTTGCATATTCGAGAACAGTGGAACTCCATGAGCTCCATAGGATGCAGCATTATCTCATCCCTACACCAGTTTAACTTGGCTTACATTCCAGACCTCAGAAATGATTACCGTGCAACTCAGGCAAAGCCTAAGGATTCTGATAGATTTTGAAACAATATTCTCTCTCCTGCTACCCTCCCTAAAATCCTCAAAGTGTTTTTTCTCCCCATGAGCTTGTTGCATAATCACACTAATTCACACATTAGTTTTTGTTTCTTAATGAGGACTGACTTATGCAAAAACTCAATTTTCTAGAATTGAGGGCCACATGATTCCTGCCTTCCTGAAAGGTGTAATTGCCTGAATTTTATTTTGCAACAAGAAATAGAATTTAGAAAATGTGGTCTTACCAAGGTACAATAAATGCTTTTTTTCAAAAGTTGGATTATAATTACCCACATGTAGACTTTTACAATAACATAAATGCTAGTATGTCTTTGTGACAATTAACTTCCCTAAAAACAAGAAAATGTGTCAGAGATTTCCCAAACAAGACCTGCAGGTTGAACCATTGTCTCTGGCTAGCGCCTCACCCAGGGTGGGTAATTAGAGAGCCCAGCCTTCGGGATGTACTAATCCCTAACTCTCTGCTAGGTTTCGGCGGCTGCATGAAGGATGTTGCATTTGCGCGCGGTGCTGTCGTTAACTTGGCATCTGTGTCCAGCTTCGCTGTCAGAGTCAATCTGGATGGATGCCTATCACCTGCCAGCGCTGCTAACTGCAGGGGAAATGACTCCATCGTGGTGTTCCGGGGACACGGGCTGAGTGCTCAAGAGAGTGGGCTCCGGCCCTTCACAGGTAACTGGCTGTCCTGTCCCTGTCCACTGCCTGCTCCCTCCTGGCCAGCTAGCCAGGAGCCTGCACGAGGAATATTTTAATATTTCTGCTTCGTATTTCCATTTAAGAATACCTGTATCGAGTGAGAGCCTCACATGAAGGGGGTGCAGTGTACAGTGACTGGAGCCGGGGTCGTACAACGGCAGCAGGTAAATACTGTTTATCCAAAACGTCTAATTGTACACACATGCCCATGTTTATGTGCATAAACTCAGGATGATAGCCCAGGAGCAAGAGAATTTCTGACAGAGCATGCCTTGATTCAAAAACATCAGTGGCTAGAACATTTCACACATCAGGGCTTTTCACTTTTTAAGAACTTACTATGTGCTACACGTGGATTTTCTTCTATTTGAATTCACAAAACGGAAATTCAGATGTCTCCAGGATTTAGTAAGCACTGCCTACCGTAATATGCCCAAGAATGGGAAACCTTACAGCCTGCATAGACCCAAAGAAGATGAATTTGAAGGCCAGGATTACCTTCAGCTGGGCATCAGCCCCTTGACTGTCTCGCAGTCAGCGCATTAATGACCTGGACGTGGTTGGAAGCAGATGTGCTGTTACCACATCATTGCAGATGTTTGCCATGGTGTTGACTATTAGGGTCTTCAAATGACTCCCATAGGAGGGAAATTGCTGATCAGGTTAATTTTTTCATTTTTACTTCAAAGAGTAACACTGGGAGATAAAATACATTAGCTTTAGTCTCAGACAACTGACTAAGAAACAATTTGTACTTCTAAAAGTGGCGACAAAATGTCTCTGTGTCATAGCGTCATAGGAAGGTACTTGTCACAGAGAGGTTTACATAAATCACCAACATTCTCCCTTCTGAGGTCCAGTATTTGTCAGAAAAGCAAACACATCTGCAAAGAGTTGCACTTGTGAGTCTGGAAGAAAGTTTATCGAGCAAGTCACAATTTGTCTAAGGATAGTTTTTCAGCAGAATGCTCTGGTATACTTATCAACAGCAATGAGTTATTACCCCAGGGATACTTTGAGGAATCTTCTTGGTCTCGAAGATAATTAAAAAGTGAGCTGGGCTACTATCAATAATGCTCAAGATGCTTTGCCTCCTGGTTTTCCAGAAGAGGAAAACTTGACACTTTCTTGGGATGATTTAAATTACCATCTACTTATAGACAAGACCAGGAGCTGAATAATCTCTTAAGATCCTGTTCATCTTCAGAGCCGAGAGAAAGCTCTCATGTATTCTATTCATGTGTTATTTTAAAGAGGGTAGTAAATGAGAAACAAACAAACAAAAAAATAGAACAGTGTTTTCTGCCCCTATTTCGTATGCCTGTACTTTCTTAACAAAATGCTATAAAGCTTGTTTCATGTATGCCAGCAATTTAATGTCTGTAATTTGAAACACTGGGATACGTCAGGTGTTTAGAAAGTGCATTGCTTACATAGCTTTAGCACCCACTGATAAAGTACGCAAACAGAGCACTAAATTTATAGCCACGATCTGACCACACAGTCTTATGCCATAAATTCATATTTATAGTCTGACCACAACATCGAGCAGCTACATGCTCCCAAGGGTTGGAGAATAATTGCACTATTTAATTATTTTTGAGTCAGTTTTGCTCTGTCCCTTATGAGAAGACCATCTGTTAGACAGTGCAGTACTTTGCCCTGCACCACATTTCAGAACTAATAAAATCAGCGTCTCTCCCATTGTCCCACTCCTTGCAGCTCGACTGTGGGGGCTGTGTCTGCTGGAGGCGCACAGAAACCCTCTCCCCTGCATTTCCTCGCACCCTTTCTGCTCCACGCGTTCCCCTGAAAGCTGTCCCATTTTAGTGGTCTGAACAGAAGAGTCAGAGGAGGAAAATATTTGATGTGGGAGAACTGGAGTGATCTTCCGTCGACAGGGCTCGGGCGCCCGTGAGCAGCGCACACCGGTCTCATCCATCATCCTGCCACTGCGTTCCTGGGGCTCTTTCTTGTGTCTCCCATGCAGTCAGCTGTGGTGAAGTTGTTACTGATCAGGACCATAGAAATATCTAACAAATAGTTAAAGGTGACGGACTTTTGAAATTAGGAGGCTCAGCTTGCAAGTGAGCTTCTGTGGCTCCTTGAAACGCTCTCATTTTGTGTTATTATTTTGAGATACTCCGAAGAGAATACCTCTGAAAACAATTCTGGAGACTCTCAAGGGCACAGGTTTTCCTACCCTACCCCACTCCCAATGCAATTAAGAATGTATCTAGTCTATCGCATCTGGTAGAACTTTGCTGCTTTAAAATAATTTGAAAAACAGTTGAATTTGGACAAGGAGCCTAGTGTTCATGTACAGTACAATCGCATGTGTGATTTCTTTTTTGGCTATTATGGGAGATATCAAAGTGTCAAACACTGTGTATAATAACAGTCTAATTATCTGGCTTCCAAAGGGTACATCATTATATGGCTTGAACTTGTTCTCTGCCTACCATCCCCTCCTGCTTTATGAGTGATGTTTAAACATGTCTGATACATTAAATGTTTTTGGAAAACCTGGACTCGACTTGGAAGAATGTTATGTCGATGGAGTTTTGATGGTCTTGAAATATCGCTTAAACTGAATGGCTCAAGATGTGCAGTCATATTAAATCAATGCTGAAAAGTTACAACTCTAATAAATTGTATTTATGCTAATGGTTCAGTCTGATTTAGTGCGGCCATTAAAAGTGAGGAATGGGGCAGTAGTCTTTTCAGGACTGCCATTCTCTCTATTTTCTCTTTTATTCTTTCGTAGCTCCGCCAAGTGTTCCAACTCCCTCCAGAGTCCGCAGCATCGACGGGTATAGTGTTGAGGTGACGTGGGTTGAGCCCGTCGGGGTTAGAGGTGTCATCGAGAAGTACGTGCTGAGAGCCTACAGTGAGGATGACCCCTCCGTACCCCGAACACCTGCTGCCATCACTGAGTGTGTGGATACCAGCACCTTCACAGGTAAAGGGATTCCCTAAAGGAGTAGATCTTACAAGCTTCTGTTGCATTTGGATTTTACATAAAAAAGTGTTTCTGAAAGCACGTTAAATAAATATATATTTTTGCTTTATTAAAAACAATCATCATCGGGGCTGGGGATTTAGCTCAGCGGCAAAAGCGCCTGCCTGGCAAGCGCAAGGTCGTGAGTTCGGTTCCCGGTACCGGAGAAAAACCAAAAAAAAAAAAAAAAAAAAAAAACAAAAAACAATCATCATCATCTTCCATAGTGGAACCCAATATCTTTCTCCCTAGGTGAAAAGGATGACTGTGGAGTGTCTGTGAGCTTCCTGGAGAATTTCTTTCCAAGGTTGTTGGTTGATATTCTCTCCTTCCTTTAAAGGGCAGAGGTGGTCCCAGTGCTCGTCACTCCATAGACCTTTTTTGAGGATCTTATTTATCTACAGGACCAGCTTACCTACCTTACCGTGCAAAACTTCACTCTTTGGGATTAGACCAAGTTCACACCACTGTAATTTATTGTAAAATTGCTGATTAATCCTAATTATCTCAAAGTGGAGGGATCTTAGAGCCCCAGCAGTCTGACTGGCAAACCAGCGAATCGCTTTCTCACACTGTAGCCTGCCATGAAGCACAGTTACACCGAAACACACCCACACCCACATTTGCCTCTCATCCAAGCCCAGGGCTATGCAAGAGGGTGGTATTTTTCAGCTTTATGAAATATTAAACATATTTCAGTGGAAAGCCACATTTAAGCCTCTGATCAAAAAAAGTAAAATGGATCAAATATGATAGAAAAAAAATCCTCTCCATGAAAATATTTATAGATTTAGTCATTGTATACATGAGTGTTACAGTAGCCTTACATAACTTTTGTCCTCCCAACATCTCTGTTGCTCAGCCCCCTCCGTCTTTATTTTCTCCTTTAGATTTTCTAGAATCTATAACCTAAGTGCCTACATAGAACCAATTTTCTACAAAATAAAAAACCCAAATGCTCCACTTGCTCCCTCTGTCCCTACAAACACCATGGCAGCTGAGCAGGCTGGAAAATACCAAGTGGTTTATCAGTAGATCTTTTCAAGCCCTGACTTTGCATGAGCCTTGGTAATGACATATTTCTATAGTAACTCCTTCTACCGTTCCCCTACTTCAATACTGTTTATTTTTCCAAGCTATCCAGATGCTAACTTCCCTTGTTCACCCTACTCTCCTGATGCTTTTATAATTTATATTAAATTAGTCACCATAGATGAGAACAGGGTCAATTATATATGGTTTTTGTTACTGTCTTACTACAGAATATATGTACTAATTGCATCTTTCTGTCTGGTAAGGCTTTTATGAGGGGTTAAACAGATTAGTATGCTAAAGCACTTGAAGCCATTTCTGGCACACAGTAGGTATTTAGGATCATTTAAATTTCATTATTTTAAAAAAACTTTTCTCTCTTTTTTCCTACCTGATTTTATGGAGCTTCCTTTATCCTAGCAAACATAGAGCTTTCACACAACTTCTGGACTCCGGCCCATCCTGCTGTCTGAGGGGCGTCACTGATAACTTATCGTTTATATATGATAATCTCTCTACTGCCTTAATGTGACCACAGGCCCAGTGAAGCAGCTTCACCGCGGGACTTGTTAGTCAAGACTGAATGACCTTCTTCATACCTGCTGCAGCAGAAGCCCGGGCTGGCGCTCAGCAGCCCATGGAGTAGCTTGTCTTCTCCTGGACTGAGGCACACCAAAGTCTGACAGCCCCTGAGTCACTGTTCTTGAGGCCTCATACCAGGACCACTCAAATTCCTTCTGTTACCGCTGACTGTTAAAAACAAGCTCACCCACATAATCACAGAGATCTGTTCCTCTAAATCTCCCTCCGGTCCCTCTCTCCTCGTCCCAGGGTGCCCTTCAGTGGGAGGCAGCTAGGCACAGGCTCCCCGCTTCTTCACCGTCTGGCTGCTACTCACTTCTGTGGCCAAGATCATGTGTGCAAGCTAGCCTTGCAGGACCCTCACTCCTGCCTTCAGCAACTCTCTGCACAGTAGGTTCAACATGTTTATGGCAGTTCCTGCCAAACAGACGCATCACAGCGTCCTTACCCACCCTCTCCACCACCCCTGGGCACCATGCACCCTCTGGCTCTTCCTCAAAGTCCAGTGACCATGGATACGTAGTTTTAAATCGATTCAGGGCGTCAGGGCAGCTACAGCAGCACAAGCAAAAACACTCATGCAAGGTGACTTAGAACGTCTTCAGCAAGTGACAAGAACGACGGGATGAATGTGTTTGAAGTGAGAGGGAGGATGTTGAGGGCAGATTCATGGCAATGTATCTTTTAGAGCAACAATTTTTAAGAAATCAACAAGTACATGTTGTGATCACACCTTACACTTGCCTCACTGGGGCAACCAAGAAGCGAGCGTGGCTCCATGTATGTGTGCAGCGCACAGCACAGGATGGACACACGAAATGCGCAGTGTAAAGATCAGATGTCTGCAATGTGCCTAGCACAGTGCTGAACTCATGGTGGTTTTTTCAAAAAAAGGGGAGTACCTTTTTGGCAGAATTATGTGCCAAACTTGTGAAAGTTTGCACAAAGTATACTTTCTCAATCAAGCAGGATGCAGGACTATGCAGTTTATTTTATCATAGCCAACACTAAATTTCATAGACTTATTGATGATTTACACTTCTTTTGTGACATGGCTAAGTAGGTTAATTAGTAATTTTTCTACTGAATGATTCACATTTTTTCATTGATTCAAAATATCTCTGTTCATATAATGAATATCCGAGTACTCATGTGAATTTTACCTTTGATATGTATTTTATGTACATATTTAAAAATATTATATGACATTAATATAACATTTTAAAAGTTTTTTTGAGTTAATTTTCCATGACTTATTGGAAAAAAGTCCATATTCTTCATTCAGGTAGAGTATTATATGCATGAGATATACCATATTGATAGTATATACTGCCTTTTTTGAGGTATTAATTGTAAATTGAAGGTAAGATCAAATCAGAAGCTGGGTGCAGAGGAGCATTTCAGGTTAATTCAGCCTCTTCCAAGATTCTGAAAGCTATCTCCCTGGAGGACAGAACCTACCAGCTTGACAGTCAGCACAGTATATTACAGGGCATGCAGAACAGAAGAAAGATATACCGGGAGAAGAAAATGAGAGGATCACTGATCAGTTGGTATTTATTTTATTGATTTTTATGTACCAAACCTGAGAAAAGTTAGGCAAGAATTATCCACTATTAAGGTGATTATGTCTATGTCTCCTTCAGATACTAAATTTTTGTTCGCACTTTTCTTGTTTTTATTATTTTATATTCATCGTTTATATTTTAAGCTTCAAAGCCATGCTGTTTTAGATATCTCTATTTCCACTGAGCTGCATATTCATCTGAAGATATTTGTATTTTAGGAGGGAAGTTTCAGTCATTCACATTTGCTTTTATGACCCATGCTATTACTTTTATTTCTGCCACTGTGGTTTAGCTTTCTAGTTTTGTCATTGTTCTTTAATGATCCAAATTTTGTATTCCTGCCAGGATGGACTAGAAATTCTGTAATTTTTTCCCCACTAACCCTCTGTGCTGCCTGCACTTGTCACACATGGGCCAGCATGGACATGTGCAGCAGGGCCTCTTGAAGGCCGAGAACAACTCTGCCTTGGCCCAGAGGATTCTTCAGTTTGCAGACTCTGGATAACGAGGAGATATGTGAATTGAGAACCATCAAACCCAGCTTGGGTAGCAGCCAAAGTCAGAGGCTTTCACAGTAAAAAAAAAATAAAATAAAATAAATACTAGAAATAGGGGAAGAAAGTAACAAGAGAGAGAGCCAACAACCTGACTTGGTGGTATACTAGTCACCTTTCTGTTGCTACGTCAAATACCTGGGAGAAATCAATTTAAAGGAGAAAAAGGTTTACTTTGGTTCATGATTTCAGAGGGGTTGGTCTATGGCTGATTGGTCCAGTTACTTTTAGGGTTCTTCTGAGTCAAAATATCATGGTGGAAGCTTGAGATGGAGGAAAACTGCTTCTTGAAGTGCAAGTGTGGTTACCCTTACACTTCCTTGAAGAATGAGAAATGGGAGGCCAGGATCCCCCCATCCCTTCCAACGACAGGGCCCGGTGACACACTTTCTCTAGTAGACCTCACTTGCTAAAGTTTCCACCAACTTCCAATAGCACTAGAAGCTGAGACCAAGCCTTCACCATGTGAGTTTGGGGAATATTTCAGATCCAAACTGTGACAGGTGGTGATGCTGAGGGTGTCTGGATTGGCCGATGACAGTCAGGCTTTGCCAGTAGTTGGGAAAAGAAGGTATCAAAAAAAAAAAAATAGGTAAAGTGGATAAAAGCAAATTTTGCTTCTTATCTTGAAAGTAATTCCCCTTCAGCACTTCTGAGGTTACCTTTGTTTAGATCTTAATATTTTAATTAATTTGCTTGAGAGAGTCATATTTATTTGACTAAAGTAATGCTGCTGCTGGGTGTACAGGCAATTTAGATTTATTGTCTGATACAGGGTTCTTTACCAATTAAGTTAAAAAATGTTACCTGAAAATGTATTGGTTTCTTTTCATTAATTTTTTTTCTGTTATTAATGAGCTCTTTTATTCTTCAAATCTGGGTCTTCAACTTGGAAAAATCTTCTCTTGTGCATGTGTAATCTTTAGCTCTGGTGAGAAACTGCAGTTTTGGATTTTCTACACATTTTCTCAGGTTGTCCCCCTTATTTTAATACCTTTTATGTCCCCAGAGCATATCATATTTTTATGTTATAAATACATTTATAAGCATATCCAGTTTTTTTATTTATTTATTTTTTTCCCAGTACTGGGAATTGAACTCACAACCTTGCACTTGCCAGGCAGGCACTGTGCCACTGAGCTAAATCCCCAGCCCTATTTTTATTTTTAGAACACACTTTGTGGAGTCAAATCATTCTAGGTTCAAAATCCAAATCTACCACTTA